ACATGCCGGATCACAGTCCCGCCGTGCGCGAAGACCGACAAGCGTAGGGCGAGGACCCGTCCATCGCCGCTTGCGGCTTTAATTTTAAATGAAATCTCCAAGAGACTTCATTGACCTCAGTTCCCAAACATGAAACCGTGAACTGGTCTAAATAAGACAGGTTTATTCACTATTTTACTATTATTATACACGTGAACTAAAATCGGAAATGAAATCGGAGTGTTTGTAGTGGACGTACTGTTAGATTACCCAGTCAGATGAGGATTATGGTTAGTAAACGATTTAACAATAGTGATTCATAATTTAGTTTATGATCGATACGCTTGTGAGCTGTTAAATACTTACACCATCAACCCGATCACAAACTGTTAGGATGATCGTTTGCGATTGGATAAAGCAGGAGACTTGAGGCGAGACAAGGTGTAGACCAAGCGGGTCTACAGACACATTACAAAAACGAGACATAAACAGCAAACCAAAAAAAAAGAAAACCAAAGCAAGGTGGTTAACTGGTGGCATATATTGTGGTGCTCCTTCCCTCTCTCCTCCTACTCTTTTTCTTCTTCTGTGGGATTTAATGGTGGCTGGCAAACCAAGTTAAGGTGCATTTCCGCTTGGAATGTGGACGAAAGATTAGGCAGTAAAAAAAAACAGATTCTGGTACCTAGCTCTGTTTCTCTAATGAACTTTATAATGTAATATTGATCCTTGCTTGGTGATTCCCCCAAAAGCCCTGATACTGTCAAGTTACGATGTTTTGCCTTCCTTAATGACAGGTTGAGATTCTTCCTCTGATTATCATATTTTTTGCAGTGAAGTAATATGTGTTCAACTGTTTCTGGCTGGTTACAATGTGTGCAGTTTCCATGTTAACCTATGTTTGACCCCTACTTTCTTCCCACCACCCACTTGACTTTGGATTTGATGGAGGTGCCTACCAGTTTCACTGATGTCCCAGTATTCCTGCCATGTAGATTGCGTATGCTTTCTAATGATAGACTTCACTTCAGCTTTGCTTAGTGGAGTTTGTATGTCTACTTGTGTACTGCTCAGAGTTTGCTTGGTCAGAGTGTCAACCTGCTAATTCCCTTCCACTCCTACATGAGCAGGGACCCAGATGTACTGTGTGACTAAGCCCTTACCATGTATTCTGCACATTGTTATGTATATTTCATTGATTATGTCCATTGTAACTTGATCCTCTATCCACTGTAGCGCCAGAAGTATTGCAATCAGCTCTGTGGTGTACACTGACAGATGGTCTGACACCCTCTTCTTTTGTGTTACCCCCTCGGGATATATACCGCATCCTGTATCTGGATCTTTGGATCCATCTGTAACGATAAACACTAAATCTGAGTAGTGCTGGTCAAAATAATTCTGGACTATGTGCTATACTGGTTGCTTTCCTGAGTTGCCCTTCAATGTTTTGACATATATTGACATCTACCATATTTTCTACCAATATCCAAGGAGGAATGGAAGGGATTGAGACTGTGGGGCTGAACTGCAGCTCGCTGAATCCTACAATCTGTGCTTTCTCCCTACCAATCCATCCAAAGCTTCTAATATTGGTTTTATTGTGCTCCCAACAGTCTTCCGAGATGTTCTTTGCAGGATGCTCATCATGATGCCCCTGGAGATTGGCCTAGTACGGCAGCATTAATTTGACTCACCTAATTCACAGACACATCTCTCCCATTTCCACCTGCATCGCTGATACTGGAGGTGTTTTAAAAGCTCCGCTGCAGATTCTTAGGGCCTGAGCCTGCACAACATCCAGCTTCTTCAGATTTGTTTCTGCTGCTGACATATAAGCGATACAGTCATAATCAGATATCGACCTCATAAGAGCCCAGTATATATTTTGCAGAGATGCTCTACAAGCTCCCCACTCTTGTCCTGCCAGACACCTCATTATATTCACAACCTTCTTACTTTTAGACACAACTTTTTCTATGTGAGTGCTCCACGTAAGCCTTTCATCAAACCAGACCCCAAGAAATCTGAACACCTCAACCTGTTCCAGTTGCTGCCCATGCAGTTTTAATGAGAGTGGAGTAACTCTATTTCTTCTTGAAATGCTTTTCAAGAAGAAATACAGTTTTTGCAACCAATAGTTTAAACCCCCACTGACTTGCCCATCACTCCACCTCAAGTACTACGACTTGTATTTTCCCACTAACATGAGCTACATTGTGGCCTCTTGCCCATAGAGCCCCATCATCCGCACACAAAGACTTCCCTATATTTCTTTCCACCTTAGAAAATATGTCATTGATCATTATATTGAAAAGCAATGGACTACACATACACTACCTTGTGGAGTACCATTCTCTACCTCATATATACTGGAGTATTCTGACCCCACTCTTGTATTTTTCTGTTTGTAGTGACTTGATTTTAGCAAACAAAACAAAACCTAAGCCACAGTGAGGGGCTGGTACCGGGAAGTGTAATTGACACATAGCAGTAAATCAAACATCTGCGGACTTACGCTTAAGAGGTGTTTATTCACCAACGTGTATCAATACAGCCTTTACTACACTTACATCTATAACTTGCATGAAACAAAGAAAAGGCTTAAAGATTGGCCTCTAAACTGTTTGCTTCTCCCAGTAAGCAGCACACCTGAGGAGTAATTACCTCTTCTTCTGTTTATGCATGTCCATGTGCTGCTGTCCAATACGCCACCTACTGTGGCAACCGGGGAATGACCATATCCAAATGGCTCTAACACTGTTGATTAAAAAAATTCAACACCCAGTTATATGGCCTCCCATCAATTCCCAGCGATTTTCATTTAATGACAAGACCTTCTTTCCAGAGCATGTCATATGCTTTTTCAACATCAAAGAAGACAGCGATCACCACTTCTTTGGTGGTCTGTGCTTTCCTGTTGTCAACCTCTAAATACAATACAAAGTCCACTGTGTTCCGAAGAGCCTTACTTACTTCATATATGTTAACCTTTCTGTGACCATTCGTTCCTGGTGTGATGTCAAGGTGATAGGCCTGTAGCTAGATAATAATGATCCTCATTATTGTAATGGGTGAGCTGATAACACGTCCATACACACACTCCAATTTCACTGTTTATAGTTCACCTGTACTATAATAGTAGAATAGCTCATAAACCTTGCAGACCAATTCGTGATTTGTGTCTTTCTTTGTGTGGGAACTGAGGTCAATTTAATTGCCAGACTGATAGACGCGATTTCAAATAAAGTCACTTTGAGATTTACAAGTAACATTTATCATTCTGGGCTGCAGGGTGGCTCAGTTGGTAGCACTGTTGCCTCGCAGCAAGAAGGTTGCCGGTTCGCGTCCCGGTGGGGGCACCGGAATCTTTCTGCGTGGAGTTTGCATGTTCTCCCCGTGCAGCGTGGGTTCTCTCCGGGTTCTCCGGCTTCCTCCCACACAGTCCAAAAACATGTTGAGGTTAATTGGTGATTCTAAATTGTCTGTAGGTGTGAATGTGAGTGTGCTTAGTTGTCTGTCTCTAAGTGTGGCCCTGCGATGGACTGGCGACCTGTCCAGGGTGTCCCCTGCCTTCGCCCTAAGTCAGCTGGGATAGGCTCCAGCCCCCCTGCGACCCTAATGAGGATTAAGCGGTGTATAGAAAATGGATGGATTTATCATTCTGTTACTTGTGACCAGTCAGTTAGTGCTTAAGACCACAGTGTGGAAACTACAGATGGAGAAAGACGTGTGTGCATTATCATCAGCTTTTCGAGAATCTGTTAAAAAAAACAAAAAAAAGCTACAGTACTAACAACTGGAAAAATGGTGAATATTCACTTCAGTTTAGTTTTATTTATCTAGCACCATTTTAAAACATTAGTCATCGCAGGGCACGTCAGGAGAAGACAAATATATTTCAGAGAGAAACCCACAAATCCAAAGGTTGCCTGTGAGCAGGCGCTTTTGCAACAGTGGGAACAGAAAAACCCTTTTTAACTGGAAGAAAGCTCACAGAACCAGGCTCAGGAAGGGCTGTCATCTGCCTCAACCAGCTGGAGTGAGGGTAAAGGTAAGCAGGAAAAGGATAGCAGAAAGAAAAACAGATCATTCTCTCTCTGTGGATACTAATCAAATTACTGAAAAACTCTACAGAAATGTGATGTGAAGAAAGTAAATGGTTGTTTCCTCTATTTTCTAAACTGCTTTAAATGCAGCCAGGAAAAAATACAATTAAAACAAATACTGTATTGTATGATGAGGACTGTAATATGTAGAAGTCTCATATTAATACCACCAGAGTACAAAAATGACAGACTGTTTGTAATGTAGATAAATTAAATACACTGAAACAATACCAAATAGATTTTGAGTAAAGTTGAATTAAGTGAACATGAATATTCAAATAATAAAATATTAAAAAATTATACTGACAGTGATGAAATATTACAATAAAGACTTTGGATGCCCCATAGGCAACAGCTAATGTCTGATTTAGGGGGACAAATTTCAAAAACAGCGCTGCTCATGTCAACTATGGAGTAAAATTACCAATGAATTCATGTGAGCATGAAACGCTGCACTCTGGTGAATTTTTATGAACAGCTTGGTGCCGTCTCTTGTTCAGCACTGTGGTACCTCTTCTCTACTACTCTTAAGACACACCAAATCTGTCTCTGCTGCCCTTCCCCCTCATTTTCTGCTCTTCTGAACTGCAACTTACTGGGCTCGTCGCCTCACTCTGACCCCCAACGCCCAACACCCAGCCCCCATTGCAACAGGGAGAGGGTATGTCCTGGATATGAGAAGTGGAATGCATGTGCTGAGAGGAGTTGCTGGAGAAAGGCAGGGGGGCTGATGCTGATAAGTCTGGTGGGTGGAGAGAAAGTGGGATGGATGCAGGGAGTGCAGGAGGAGGGAAGAGACGGCACCATGGTCTCAAAAAGGAGGGGGGCTTGGGGGGTGTAAAAAGAGGAGGACCAGCAACAGTTTGACACACTTAAAGACCACAGCAATTGTGACTTTAATTATTTTTAGCGGCTGAGGAAGGAGCATCTCTGCACATGAATTTGATGTTGCAAGTGGAAAATAACAGAGAATCCATGACTTAATCAGCTCCACTGACAACTCTGGATACTGAAGAGAAGAAGAAGAAGCAGCAAGAGAGCAGAGCTGCGGGACGCCAACATACCAGCATACCACCACTACATAGATAACGCTTCGGGAGGGAACCTCCACAGAGCTCTTTCAACTTCACACCAGAAAGGAGTGAAAAGAACAGCTGAAAGAATAAAAACATCATTAAAGGAACTTTGCTGAAGTGTGTATGTAGTACGTGGAGGACTGACTGGTCTGCAGTGGTCTTGCGAAGAAGTTAGAAAAGCAGAACAACCTGGAGGAGGAACAGCAAGAGGTCCACCGGGCCCCACAGCACAATGTGAGTACAAGTGAAGTTGCATCACTGAATCCTATCAGAATTCAAAGGTTTAGACATCTTCATACAACTAATTATAGTGAAAAGGAGCAGAAAGATCTAATTTATGGTTATTTAATGATGCTCAATATAAAGCAGCAAGTGTAAGATGTCTGAGAAACAGACGTAATTACAGCTGATTTGGTCCAGACAATAGAATAATAGAAAGAAAGAACAATAGACAATCTCCCCGAGGCATCGAAGCATAACACTGTAAGAAGCAGCTGAGCCTTTACGTGTTGGCATGCACGCTATCCTGGCAAGGTTTAAAAACAATGAAGAAAATGCGGCTTTACTAACTTCATGCCATATTATTCCATCATTTCCTTAATTATTTCCCCCCGTGTTATTTAAAGAAATGCTATTCAGACAATAATAAGAAGTGTGAGTAAAATGGGTGGAGCGCCTAAATGTATTTTCAGAAAGCGGCACAATGAGTCTCACACACATGCATGTGCGCGTGCACACTTTCCTGCCAGTATTTCCTGTGTGACCTTCCACCTTGCAACAACACTTGGGACAACAATGGGAGACAGATGTGGAAAATAAACAACACTAAAGCACCCATGACTGCACCATAAATCTCTGGTTCTTCTCTCTATCACTGTTACCGTTGATGTACAGTAAACAACTAAAGGGATTCCATCACTGTGCTATTGCCCTTAAATGTCAAATGATGCTATGTTGTACCACCGCACAGTAATTTCATTTTCTTCTGAGATGAACAATAGGTATTTAGTCATGTGAAATTTAAAAAAAAAACAAAAAAAAACCAAAACAATAATAATAATTTACCATGATAAAAATACTGACTGCACAGTTGGATCTCTATGCAACAGAAGTCAGTGCACCTTTCATTCACTTTATTTTTAATGACATACTCCATGCTTCTCACCATGGAGGATACCCTGCTACATGAATTTCTGGAGAGATATTTTACCATTTTTCAGGTCAGGTGACAAACTTGACCAGGTCACTGTTTTCACTTTTTCCCTCTTCAGAAACTCTAATGTGATTTTTAGAGTGGGATTGCTATCATGCTATCATTCTTTTTCCTGTCAAGCTTCTGCTGACTGGAATTCATTTGTCAGCCAGTATTTTGGTATATTCAAAGGAATTAGTAGTGCCATCCTGAAATGCCATCTCCCTAACACCTTTTGCACTCATGCAGCCCAGTCCTACTTTCGTGCTTCACTGTGAGGATGATGCGTTCACCGTGGTCGTCCTGACCAGGTTCACACCAAACATGCTGAACCCCATCTGAGCTGAACACATGTATCTTGGTCTCACTTGACCAAAGAATATGCTCCCAATATTCTTCAGGCTTTCTTTTTTTTTAAAAAATTGTACAATAGCAAAGTTTAATCTTGCAACTTTGTACACCAAGCAAAGGTTTTATCTCTGACGTTAGAGTGTGACTTCAGGCCTTGTCATTTACACTGTCTGAGCTGTCACAGAAACACAGTTTCTTTCCATTGATAACTCAGATGCCAAGTCTGAAACATTTGCCCGTCTGTTTTTCAGTGCAATAAGCACACTGTCTGTGTTTCATAGCTGATCTCTCTGCATCCTTTTCCATTTCACAATCAGATTTTTCAGTTACCCTCTTTATTTTCTTCTATGTGGAGTCAAGATGTAGACATGCAGATAGCCACAGAAACTGAAAGTTCTGGTGCACACAGGTAATTTTATAATCATATTTATGCAATTAGGTGGATTGGAAATCAATATTGTACCTAATTTTATGTCAGTGATCACAAATTTTCAAATGTGTGTGTCAGTGATTACAGATATATTCACTATTGTTGCACTGAGTTTCTACTTGGGGCCTGTATTTTCACTATATATGTTACTGTGATGTGCTGTGTCTGGTGGGGGCATCGCTGTCTCCTGACCTTAGAGAAGTGAGGATATCCTGTTTTAGACACAACTGCTTACTGCATAAAATCTGCCCTAACACAGAATGAATGCAAAATAAACACGCTTGGACCGACCTTAAATAGACCTCACATGGAAGGGCTGGCCTCATAGTTTGAAAATACAATATTCAATATTTCTGTTGAATAAATCCCACAGAAATTTTCCCCATAAAAAAATCAGATCTAGCTGCCATAATGTCATCATATATTAAAATATTCTATACTCATGATTACTTATTATTCTTGCTTATTTAAGTATATAACCTCCCCTGCTACAGCTTTTTTTTTTAAATGTATTTTTAAATATATAAGGTAAATGTGTTAAAGTATTAGAATTATTGCACAATACATGTGTTCTGATTGACAACTCACAGGAGGATCTGTTGCATCTGCAGCATCTGTAGTCACTAAAACACAGGCACAACAACAACACAAGCACACATGCAGACAACAACCACTAATCCAGATTTTGATGTGAGTTAGCATTTTATCTCTTTACTACACAAACAACATATAGCAATTATGGGCCTCTTTCCTTTTGGCCAATCAGCTTGCTGATAATCATCATCTCACAGAAGGCATCACACAAGGCCAGCTTCCTGACAGATAAAACCTCTGACCTCTTAGTGAACCCAAAGCCACTGATCTTTTGAAGAGTGGAATTTGATTTATTATAAATGTGTTTAGTAAATATGGCTATGGAACCTGATGATGCAGACAGCTTCCAGTCAGACAAATACAGTCTCCAAAGACAGTTTCAAAACATTTGTAATGATATATAAAACTTTGTCACTAATCCTGTCAATTACTCTGATAAAATCCACCATCTCTAACTAGTCTTGTCTTCCACACAGTTCACTATGAGTATGACTGGTACTCTAGAGAAGGGAGCCCACCATCAGGCTTTGGATCTGTCTGAGGAGCTGCCGCCTCATCACCTCCATCACCACACCAACCACCACCACCACCATCTCCACCACTCCAACTCTCTGGCCTCCACCACCGCTGCGGGGGGAGGCAGAGAAACACCTTCACGTGTGGTCATACCTCCTCCTTATTCGGCAGCTGAGAGTGGAGGTGGGGGAAGTGAAGCCCCTCTGGAGCTGCGGGGGTCACTCGACTGCTGGGCTTGCTCGGTGCTGGTAACGGCTCAGAACATGGTGATTGCTGCGATCAACGCCTGCCTTGCTGGAGTGGTGTTTGGGACCATCCTGACACCAGCCATTGTCATGGTCGTGTTTGGCTTCCTCTGCCACTCTACAGTAAGAAATGTGGGAGATAAGGGAGGGTGGATGAAAGAAAGAGCACATGTTAAAGGATTAACATTTTTTGCTCTCTCAAGTCAAGACACTGTTATTGCTTTTGCATTTTTAAAATACCAGCCATTAATCCAAACTGTTTTCCAATAGAGAAACAAGATTGGTGTTTATCAAACAAGTTTAAATATAAGGTTAAGACCCCAGTGTAACTTTATCCACCCATCCATCCATTATCTATACACCGCTTAATCCTCATTAGGGTCGCGGAGGGGCTGGAGCCTATCCCAGCTGACTTAGGGCGAAGGCAGGAGACACCCTGGACAGGTCACCAGTCTATCACAGGGCCACACTTAGAGACAGACAACCAAGCACACTCACATTCACACCTACAAACAATTTAGAATCACCAATTCACCTAACCTGTTTTTGGACTTGAGGGAGGAAGCCGGAGAACCCGGAGAGAACCCACGCTGCACGGGGAGAACATGCAAACTCCACACAGAAAGATCCCCACCGGCAACCTTGTTGCTGCAAGGCAACAGTGCTAACCAACACCTTGCAGCCCTAACTTTATCCAAATGATCTAAATATTAAACTTAAGACCATACAAAATTGAATATAACACAATTTTACCTGACTAGCTTAAATGTACAATCAAAAAATACAAAATTACACGTGAAAAACTCAATAAACCCAAGGTTTCCCCTATGTGCAAGCCTATTTGTGACAGTGGTGGGGGTTATTTAACAAGAAGAGAACTCAAGCAGAAATGTGCTCAGAGAGAGCAGCCAACTGCCTCAACCAGTTGGGTTGATGATAAAGAGTAGAGAGAAAAGGTAGCTGGTGAAATGCTTGCTCAAGTGGATTTTTTCAAAATTGTTTGCACAATGTCTATCCTTGACTTTACATTTACATTTACAAGGATGCTGGACATACACAAAGAGATTTGGCTCAGACTTCTGCAGATTGTTGCACTGTAGCAACTGGGTGCAATTTAATCCTGGTTAGAATTTACATAGTACATCATGACACACATAGTTCAGGTGCTGATGTTAAGTCAGCATATTCACTTGCTGAGCAGTGACAGTAATATATCTCAGCATTAAAACACACTTGACACCACTACAGTGCTCTTTGATATAAGATGAGTGAGAGAGCGTGTTGCCTGATAGCAAGATAAATGTTGATGCATGTTTGTTACAACTAAACAAAAGATGGATAGGAAAGGGAAATGTCTGCATCCATCTTTTCATGAAATATCTAGAAGTTCTAATCTCATAACTTTGATCCAAAAGTTTGAAATACTTGTGCTTGGGGCTTAGGGTGGGGTTTGGCTGCATCACTGATGAGAGGTTTTATAATCAGATAAGTCTGAAGTTCTCTCAGATGTTGAGGAGAAGGGTAACTGGAGAGGGTAAAGGGTCAGGAGTCTAGGGAGCAAAAAAACTCAAAGGCTGCTTGGTAGCTTCTTAGGAGGACAGATATTTGGAAATGCACAAATGCATTTCATGAATAGGAGAAAAACATAATCAGAAACAAAATACCTACTTGAACGAGTCAGTATGCATTATCCTGGACGAGACCAAAAAGTCATCACGGTTCAGAGACTTTAATGGCATTTCTGTTAGCCGAGAACCTCCTTAATGACCAGAGAGACCAGGATTCTCTCTGTTCTCATGTTCTCTCACAATTAGACCTCATGTGACAGCAGCTTAGAGGGGGATTAACAAGGCTCTGGGAGGATGAAGAAAGAGGGGGGGATTCTAAAGAAATACAAAAGGGTTGAGAAGAACAACCCTGAAACAAAGTTGGGATACGTATTTAAGACTTTCAACTGAACACACATTGCAAATGCACTTACAAGACATTTCACAAGTTATGCAGAAACACAATATTTCACACACACAATTTATTTAAAATAAAAACAAAACATGTACACTCAGTAAAACCTGTCTCAGATCTGAAGTCCTGGCTATGTTAATACAAACATGGGCATGCTTATGTGATTCTTATCTGGTACAACTCCTACACTTAGAGTCCTTTTAACCTCAACTTCTAAAAAATACATACACACTTCAGTTTAACCCATCTCTTTCAGTTGTTACCTTACTCACTCCCTAACACCTTTTCTCCTAAAAGTTGAACCATACCTTCACCTTTTTGCAAATAAACTGAACAGACAAAAATACATGAAGGTCTGAGCTTAGCATTTTCTGTGTCAGCATGCCTTTACTATAAATAAAAACTTTCCTCAGCCTGGGCACCTGAAAACTCTTTTTTTTTTTAACTCTCTGCACTTTCCTCATGCACTCAAATGTCATCCTTCACGGTGAGATAAGGATGATTCAGGCCTGCTGTCTCTTTATTCCTCTCCCACATTTAAGCCCTGATCCCTTCACCTCTCCTCCCACTCCTCCTGTGTTACTGCTCATCAACAGCGCTACATGTTTTGACATACACCATGTACTGTTCAACATCTCTAAGTATTTCTCAAACCATCAACAATTCAGCACTGATCAAAATACTATCTCAAATGAAATCTTCTACCACCTGCTATGTTTTATGAAGAGATATTCCCCTTAGTTTATATTTTTTTTTCATCATTTTCAGTCAAGGTTTAGAGTTTGCTGTAGCACAGAGAGACTTCCTGAAGCCAGAGAGAACCCACACTGCACAGGGAGAACATGCAAACTCCCCACAGAAAGATCCTGGTGCCCCCACCGGGATGCGAACCGGCGACCTTCTTGCTACGAGGCAACAGTGCTACCAACTGCGCCACCCTGCAGCCCTTCAAAGGAAACAAATCACTAAAATTAGACCATTACTGGCTGTCATTGATTTGCATAGGAGTATAGATGCATTTTTTTTTTACACATTTTTTTCAACAACCCTAAGTGGTTCTGAACACGCTGCACACATTTCAACTGTCAAAGAGAAATATGATCATGTCACTACAATAGTTTCCAGCTTCCACTTGTAAAATTTTGCATCCATTTCAAAATTCTAGTAATCACCTTTAAATCGTCGTGTTCCAAATTGTTTGAGGGTCTTTTAACCTCTCACGTCTCGGGGTGCTCTCTGGGATTGATTAATGGGGTTTGGCTGGGTTTTCCTTGGTCTCAGCTTGTGAACAAGGATAACGCTGCCTCTGTCATCAGAGAAACCAAACTGTAGAATAGTCTATTAAGATCAGACTGAAAACATCTTAAAATAATCTTTAACTCTGTTCTTAAGACATAACTTTATCAAAAACCTGTATGAATGTTTGATATACAGCTGTGTTTTATGATCCCTTTGTCATTTTACTTCTGTTGGCCTGCCTTGTTTTACGATATCTGTTTTTAGGTTCTCTGACTGCTTACATATGCTTTGTTTCTTGTTATTTTTGTTTTTATTAATTTTCAATGCTGTTTCTTTGTTTAGCACTTTTGTCAAAAAATGCTATATAAATTAGGTTTATTCTATAAAGTAGTTAACACAGAGAAAGACAGTGATACTTCATAGTACTTCCTACCAAGTTCCGTGTAGTTAGATTTATTAAATTTTTGTCAAAATGAGCCTTTAATGTACTTCTAATTCAGCGCTTGCATGCGTGTGTGAATGTGTTGTACATCAGACTACCAGCTGGTATTGCTACTCACCTCATGCACACATACCACTCAAAGTATGTCATCTCTTATCCTTATCTGTTCCTCCCTGCATTTTAAGCAACTAGACCATGATTGTGGCCAACAAACCAGGCTGAGTTTTAATGTGTGTATCTGTGTGAGGGTGCAACTAACACAACACAATTGTATTAGTCCAAGTAAAGCTAACCGTGTCAAATAAAGGTTTCAGAACAGGTGGCCCTCTTGCTTGATAAACTTACCCAGATGCATCCTGCATCTTTGTCATTTTGACTTTTCACTATCTCCTCTTGTCTTTGCAGGTCCGCCCTCACGGGACGACACCTTACTGCTCAGACCTGCTGACTGATGGAGGCTGCGTGGCTTTGCTGGTGGTGGGCTTCCTCTTGGTCACCCCTCTGTTGGTCCTGGCACTGGCTGCATACTGCCGCCTGGCCCGACACCTCCAGCTGGGCCTGTGTTTCATCCCATACAGCCGGGCCGTGTACAAGAACCTGCCAGCCACCCAGCATCGTGGCCTCGGCACTGGCTGCTGCGGTGGTCGAGACGGAGTCGATGGCAGTGGAAAGGGAAAGGTCTGGGTGTGAGATGAAGGTGGGATGGGGAAGGGGGAATAGAGAGAAAATGGGTGAGGATGACCATGAGCTTAAGTATATAAAGGGAAGTGAACATGAGAATGAGGTAGGGGGTTGTATAGCTGAGGATGTGAGGAACAAGACCATGTGTACCAGAGAATGGAGGAAGTTGTAAATGGCAATTGCGATAACAACCAACTGAACATCCTGGAAGGCAAGTTACATAATGACTAATGAAGTATTTCAAAGTGTTAACATCAGAACAACATAAGTGATTGTTGAGAAACAGAATGAACATGGTGTCCTAAGGAATTTCTGTTGCTATTGTTCCACTGAATACAGTAACTTTCCAGATTCAATACGCTGTCTTTAAGTATTGAGAAAAAAAAATGCGTACAATCAAAGCATGTATTTTTCAAGCAAGATACAGAAATAAATATGCCCCTGTGTAATATCAATGTGTTAAATGACTCACAATTTCATCATCTCTCAATAATCACAGTATTTCTAAGTTGACAAGTAGAGTGCTTTGACTTATGAACATTAAAAAAACAAAGAGTATATGGACAACACAGTCCCAAAAGTAAAAACTAAACAGTGCAACAACAGTGAATACACCTGTGGTCACTGACACACAAGTTAAAAATGTGTGATCTTTGAAACTATATTGAGTACGCCTTGTTGTTCAGTAAAACACTGCAAGATTAAACTTTGTTAACTGTCATGAAAGGACTTGTTTGGCTCAGATACGGGTTCAGCATACTTGGCGTAAACCTGACCAGGACCATCACAGTTAATGTATAATCCTGACAGTGAAGTATGAAGTTGGGAGTTTGGTTTGCTGATATGGGGCTGCATGAGTGCAAAAGGAGTTGGGGAAAAAACACTTTCAAATGGCACCATGAATACCTGCATATATATATATATCCCAAAATATTGTCTGAAAAGATGACTCCCAGCAGTTTAGCAGAGGAGGAGTTTTTCAGCATGACAATGATCTACAACACACTGCCAAAAGAACACAAGTTTGAGAAAAATACGATTACAAATTAAAATAAAATGAAAATTATGCCCTGGCCAAATGTGCCACCTAATGTGAATACAATACAATTTTACAGTCTTAAGAATTGCATCGCATTTCTTCGAAAATGTGTGAAATATTGGTGCCCCCATGCTGAGAAAGATCGAAGAGTCAGTTATCAAAAATAAAATTGAACAAACAAAGTTTGAAAAAAACAAAAAAGATTTCAAAGTCAGTAACAAAAGGCGCACTGAGTTCCTACTGTAGGACCTGTATTTTCAATATAGTAAATCTAAGCTGTTACTTTTTAATTTTCCAAAGAGCAGATAACTTGCTGCTCAACTTAGAAGTAATTCAATTACTGCAAGGTAACATAATTTTGATTCATTTTACACTTCAGTGACATTGTGTAGGAGTGTGCTCACTTCTGTTGTGTACTGTGTATGACCACTTTAATGCAAACTGAATAATGTAGACAACAAAAAAAAAACATCATAAAAATAAACAGTATCCAGTCAATAAATAACTGCAAGCATAACACTTTAAATTAGTAATAGCTTAAAATACCCAGAGGTGCTTTGACACACTGAAGTTGTCAAAAATACAGCATTGAACCAGATCTGCATACAAATTTTCTGGGAAAAGGGAAAGGATGAAAAGAGCACATCTCACAAAGGCTGTACTGACACACAACATAATTGTATCTTATTTATGTTGTCATGAAAACATGTATTTTTCTAGTGTAGTTTTCTGTTTAGCTGATGTAAACTGTGATTACAATCTCATGGTTTATTACCTTTTTTTAAAATAAAGTTTTGGGATTTTGTTGAAGGGGCTGCAAGGTGGATCGGTGGTTAGCACTGTTGCCTCACAGCAAGAAGGTCACTGGTTCGCATTCCGGTGAGGACATCCAGGATCGTACTGCGTGGAGTTTGCATGTGCTCTCCGTGCAGCGTGGGTTCTCTCCGGGTTCTCCGGCTTCCTCCCACAGTCCAACAACATGCTGAGGTTAATTTTCCGTAGGTGTGAATGTGAGTGTGCTGGATTTTCTGTCACTCAGAGTAGCCCTGTGATAGACTGGCGACCTGTCCAGGGTGTCCCCTGCCTTCGCCCTAAGACAGCTGGATAAGCTCCAACCCCCGCGACCCTAGTGAGGATTAAGCAGTGTATAGATAATGATTAATTAACATGCACAGTACACAAAACTGCATGTTTTAAAAATGTCTGCACACAATTTTGTTTTGATACAATTTCCTTTTTGCATAACTTCTCTCTGCACCTAATATGATAGACCCCAATAGTACACTTATGCAATGAGCCATACCTGCATTCAATACATCCATACATGTAGGCATTGGTATATTTTTCACATTCAAAGGGGAGAACATTAATACAGTCCTCCACTACCAGAAATTATGCTGTCAAGAGTCCTGCATTTGGGAGTCATAGACTATATATACAACATGGGTGTAGTCACTGGCTCTGTAAAGCAAAGCTATTGCAGAAGTTCCTTAAAGTGAAATATCACTGACAGATCTCTTGCTTCAACAGATTCCTATTCAAACAGCATGCGCTTTTCTCCTGACACAAGTCAAAATATTTTTGAAACAAATCTTTTTTTCTTTTTTTTTGTTTCTAAATTCCCACCTCCTTAGGGGTCTGGTGGTTCTTCTGAAAATAATTACATTAAAAGTTGGGTTGGCTTCTTTAACAGATATGACCAAGTTGAAGTGAACTGTGTTGGTGTAATATACAACATTAATGTACCTATAGCTATTTATGGAGATGCTGTTTTACACTAACTTAATATTTAGGTGGCTTAAATGATATTAAAACAACAATGTTAAATTTCTATGTTGTCATGAAACAAGACTGCTATAATATCTATATTAACAGGTGACAACAACTCAATCTCGCACTCTCAAATCAGTAGCGTATATTGTGCAGCCCATTCTACAATGTCACATAGTCTGTGTGGTGCAGATGTTGAAGAAACACATTCTATTATTTTTCTATACATTAAAATTGTGTCATGTAAACATAAGTGTGTAAATTGTGTAAACAGCTTTATTGAGCGAACACTTAGTATCATGTACACAAAGAATAAGAAATGAATTCAGTAAACTCTCGTCCACACCTATGGAGGAAAGTTTACTTAATTTATTTCTTGATGTCGAACCGCAATGGTACAGCACTTCTTTTTTTCTCTCTCCAAGTGTGGAAAGAAATGATTCCCAGTTTGCAAAATTCATCTGAAACTTTTGTACATGTTACAATCAAATCAAATT